AGCGCGCAAAACTAATAGGTTTTGTGTTCAAACCTCATGAAGACACACTGCTGAGGAGTCCCACAATAGGAAGAAACGGTCGTCCAGTGCTAACAGGTTTTCAATTATGGTCTAACATCAATCGATTCCTGATCTCAATCAAAAACTTAATAATCTCCTTATCTCCATACTGTTATAAATTTGTAATATGTTTGCGATAATCTCAAAATATTATAGTAAATAAATATTGTACCTATATAGTGGATTTAGCCGACTTACTTCACAAGTATCCACAAAGATCTTGTTTAATATATGATAGAGGAAAATGTAAATAGCTATCTCATTCATCGAACATTGGTCTTCTTATCACTCGTCGCTGTATCAATAACAAACCACTGCTGAGCTGATGTACTTGTTTTTGCTCCCGAATTCTATTGACAATCATTTCATCAATGTTTTAAAAACTCCTCACCAGCTGCAACCCTCGGATGTAAACTAACAATTCATGTAAAATGAATAATTCATCTAGATTTCTACTTTCCCAACAGTTAAGTATTTACTCATCTGCAAAATTCAGTGAGAAATACGATCTGAATTTGGATGAAATGAAGTATTTAGTTCTAACTTAAAGCAGGAAGTTTACTAGTTCATTAATATCCAGATATTACTGTAGACTTCTAGGTTTAGTTAGAAAGCTTGTGAGGCAATCCTCACAGGATGCACATATACCAATAAGTGAGAAAGATTAATCAATTTCAATCCTCATTAACAATCGAAAGATACAAGTAAACAACACCAAGTGAGCTTGAAAATTTACCCTATTTCACAAGCATGTGGCTATCAAAACTCAGTAACTGAATGGATAACATGATAGCGTTTAAGCAGACGGTACTGAGTTCGGATACCGGAGTGAATATCAAATGTGGGATACAGATGCATCCAGCTGACGAGTCTTAAATAGGACGAAACATCTGTCCTGGATTCCATTGCTATAGTCACTATCCATCTTTGCTTAAAAAGCTTGCGACTTGAGGCAATATCAAGGCAATCCTCACAGGATGCACATATACCAATAAGTGAAAGAGACTGATCATTTTGGAAACTGTTTTCAAATCAAAAATGTTTTCTCTTAGCTATGTTAACATAGTTTGAGAAAACTAAATGAACGAGATAAAACTTAAATGTTTGGTTTAAAGTTCTACCCTAACCGTATAAAATGAATCCCTCTGCGTTATTTCTTATTGAGTAGAAATGACTTTTGTCTATATAATTACTTATCAATTTGTTTATCACTTTAAATTATATTTAAAGCAATAACTGCAAGCTTGTAATTTCGTTACACAATTCTATTTGAACTTTAAAATAAGGCCTTCACTACTGATATATGTGATATTTCTGTTTGGACGGCTTCCGAGAACTCCATCGGAGCATCTAGAAGCCCTAAAGAAGCCGAAGGGTTCCATCTAATCAGAACGTAATGGAGCTTTCTAGAACACCAAGGTGGCAGGCTACTATTGTCCAGTAGCATAACATGGCTCTTCACTGAGTGGTTGAATTATAACGTTGATTTAACAAACGTTAATATCTATAAATACCCATAATTTTCTGCACATCTTGATTCTTACCGAACAAGAACTTTCTCCAGTCTTCTTCTGTCTTCTTATTTGCGACTTGAAAGGTTCTAGCGTTCGATTGCTCAAGTTATATGCGATATATAAAGTACCTAAGCTCTAGATATGACAATTTTTGATTATTTGATCTATCCAAGAAGGTAGTACAGTTTTAGTCGTTATGAACATGGATTCAATCATTTTCAGTCCAATATTTGCAAAGAGTTCAAGTTACTTAAGTAAACTCAAGCTTTCTTTTCTCTATATTATATCATTATGTTAAAGACTAAATAGAATGATATCAACATCTCTGTCTAAAGTGATTCAAACGTAAATGATACTGTCCATAATAATGTAACTGAATGTTTCGGTGTCTGTATCAAATGTTACATGTGAAACGTTAATACTTTTAAATTAATAAATATTTAATTCACTTGGTATTACTTGCTTGTATCATCCCATTGTTGTTTAGGTCTAAAATTGATCAGTCTCTTGTTGGCATATTTAATATTGAAAATCAAAAAATGAACAAAAAGGGATAGTAGCTATAGCAGTGGAATCCAGGGCACATGTTTCGTCCTATTTAGGACTCGTCAGCTGGATAAACCTGCATCCCGTACTTGATGTTCACTCCGGGATTCTAACCCAGTACCGTCTGTTTTAAACACTATCATGTTATCCATTCAGTTACTGAGTTTTGATAGCCACCTGCCTGTGAACTGAGGTAAATTTTCAAGCTCACTTGGTGTTGTTTACTTGTATCTTTCGATTGTTAATGAGGATTGAAATTGATTAATCTCTCTCACTTATTGGTATATGTACATCCTGTGAGGATTGCCTCGATATAGCCTTAGGGTACAGGCACTTTAAGCAAAGATGGATACAAGTAAATCAACACCAAGTGAATAATAAATGAGTTTCAAATTGATTTTTGAGGTTCGTTTATCACAATGTCAATCGCTACCATGACCAGTGTGGATTTTTCTATTACAATTTTCTTATATTATTTAACAAACTTTTTTATCTTGATATCCCGAACTCTATAAAATACAAGATTTCTATCATGATAATGATCTTTGATTCAAAATATGGACAAAGATGTTCTAATTATTGCCTATTACTTTTACATTCTAATCACTTCGTGACATCTATGTAATACCGAGCTGTTAAGTATGTAAGAGAAAACTTAGCTTGTCTGTTTAGTTTCATGGTGACAGTTGACATCATAATGATAAATTTTGTTAATTAAGAAATGAATGAAAGAAATGATGAAACTGGATAAAGGTTCTGGGTTCGAATCCCGCGTGCAGGGTCATGGGTTTGTACTACGGAAGAGTCTCATACTAAGACGAAATGGCAGTTCAATGGTACCGGGCTTCCAGTGGTGCTCTAACATTCATCGACTCATGATATCAATTTTAAAAAAACTCATAGTTAGACCATTACTGAAAACCCGTTTTGTACCAATATAGGACTCCTCAACAGTATTCAAAGTATAAGGAAGTATGATTTACGCCGAGTGGCTTCATAATGTGAAATTATGAACACTTAGTGTCAAACAAGGCAGTGGACATAAAATATCACTGTTAACTCTGAGAAATCGGTATATGTATACATAGTCTTCGATCATCTATTTGCATGTTGTAGTGTGTCCTACAATCTGAATTGTTTTCTAGTCTAATCATCAAATGTTCTGTCTACGCCATACATTTGATTAAATGAATCTGTTCTCTTAGTCTGTTGACTGTAACAACTTTGAGATTATGTTCCGTTACATAACACTTACAATCAGCCTTGTAAATAGTGTTCACCGTACAAATACTCATTGCACTCTTTAATCACATATTACGTTTCCGTGGGAAATATTTAACTACCAATACACATCAGTAATCTAACACGCTATGGATATAATATTTACTTTCCATATTTGCGATTTCCATTAACATTTTAAGTAAACTGATCTTTCGTTCCACAGCTAAGTTAGTTATTATTATTATTAGTAGTAGTAGTAGTAATAATAATAGAAGAAGAAGGAGTATTAGTATTAGTAGTAGTATTAATAGTATTAATAGTTGTGGTAGTGGTAGTAGAAGTATTAGTAGTAGTGGTAGTAGTATTAATGGTAATAGTTTTATTCAATATTATGTATTAGGTACGATATAGAATTCTGAGCACAACGTATGTTAACAAGTTTCCTTTTCTTATTGCTTGATCGATCCTGACGATAAATATTGAGTGGTTGCCAGTTAGATGTTAACAGTTCAGTCAGTCGACATCTGAATGATGTATATTCTTTTCGATGCATATTGCCAACAACCATGTTATCTCTGATTGAGCACTCTTGTAAGTTTTACAGTGAACTGTCGTAAACGTTTCACAAACGCACCTGAATAGGTTATGAGAGTAATAGGCCTAACGATGAGTGAAAAAAAAGTAAACAGATAACTTGTTGAAATATGTAGATGGCTGGAATAGGTAGTTCAGATATTCAAGCAGGCCTCCTTGTGAGATCATACCTCTCACCTCAAACTAATATGTAACTGAACAAGATGACTAAAAAAGATTGAAATACAATTCTTAGAAAGATTGGATTTAGTGACCTCTTGGCTATTTCAACTGATCACCTTCTGACAGATATGAGATATTAAACTAAATCTTATGTATATTTAGCTCAAATCACTAGGTTTTACTCATACCATAGAAATGCTTAACTGACTACTCATTACCGTACAAGTTAAATATTACTTTTTTAAAAGAGAATTTGACATTCTTAAGTTTTTATAAATGATTCCATGATGTTAGAATGTTTTCATAATACTTAATTGCTTAGACAATATTGATTCATGTTTTGTCATATAGTGTGAAACCATGAGTCAAGATCTGTAAGATAACACATTGGAGATCAAGAAAACCCTGTTCAGTGAATTTAGTTTGACTAAGAACAGATAACTATTAGTTGAAATTAGACACTAACACCGTTGGATGCCGGTCGGATCAGAGGTCTAGTGGTTAAACACTCACGCTTGAAACTGGCAGGTCCTGGGTTCAAATCTCGCAATGTAGGATCGTAGATGCGCACTGGAAAAGAGAAGTCCCACAGAAGGACGAAACGACCGTCTAGTGCTTCCAGGATTTTCATGGTGGTCTAACTTCAATCGAATCATGATCCCAACTAATAAAATAATTATTCGATTGTATTGTTCAAAATGTTTAACAGATCTATAATGATAGAATAAAAATCTGACCTAGAAATTGAAATTACTTCATATGATAACTTTGTCATGTGTACATAATTTAATATGATATTATTTTATATAAATACACTACTCAAATGAGGCTACTTACAAAATTCTGTTATCAGTGTGGTATATTATTTCGTTTAAGTAAACTAAGGAAAAAATATATTCAACTATGGCTGGACATGAAGATGATAGTAGTGGACTTGTAATTGATAATGGATCCGGTATGTGTAAAGCTGGATTCGCTGGTGATGATGCACCAAGAGCTGTATTCCCATCAATTGTTGGTCGTCCAAGACATCAAGGTGTTATGGTTGGTATGGGACAAAAAGAGACTTATGTTGGTGATGAAGCACAATCGAAAAGAGGTATTCTAACTTTGAAATATCCTATTGAACATGGAATTGTTTCAAATTGGGACGATATGGAGAAAATATGGCATCATACATTTTATAATGAATTACGTGTAGCTCCAGAAGAACATCCTGTCCTACTTACTGAAGCACCAATGAATCCTAAAGCAAATCGTGAAAAAATGACACAAATTATGTTTGAAACATTCAACAGTCCAGCCATGTATGTTGCTATCCAGGCAGTTTTATCTTTGTATGCATCTGGTCGTACTACGGGTATAGTATTGGATTCAGGTGATGGTGTAAGTCATACTGTTCCTATTTATGAAGGTTATGCTCTACCACATGCAATACTTCGTCTCGATTTGGCTGGTCGTGATCTAACTGATTATCTTATGAAAATATTGACTGAACGTGGTTATTCATTTACAACTACTGCTGAACGTGAAATTGTTCGTGATATCAAAGAAAAACTGTGTTATGTTGCCTTGGACTACGACCAAGAAATGAATACTGCTGCAGTTAGTTCATCTCTTGAAAAGAGTTATGAATTACCTGATGGTCAAATGATTACGGTTGGAAATGATCGATTTCGATGTCCTGAAGCATTATTTAAACCAAGTTTCTTAGGTATGGAATGCTCCGGTATACATGAAACAACTTATAGTTCAATTATGAAATGTGATGTTGATATTCGTAAAGATCTTTATTCAAATATTGTTCTGTCTGGTGGTTCTACTATGTTTCCTGGTATTTCAGATCGTATGCAAAAAGAAATTTGTAGTTTAGCTCCAACAACAATGAAAATTAAAATTGTTGCACCACCTGAACGTAAATATTCTGTATGGATTGGTGGGTCTATATTAGCTTCATTATCAACATTTAATCAAATGTGGATCACAAAACATGAATATGATGAATCTGGTCCAGGTATTGTACATCGTAAATGTTTTTAGATTAACTTATTTTCTCATATTGGATTATATTATTGTTGTTTATTAGATTTTGTGTTGTTGTTTTTGACATTTACATTTCACAAACTGTTTACAATGAAAGTTTATGCTTCTTCTTTCTCTTTTTTTAGTTGCCTTGGCAACTAATTTCTATACTTGATTTTTTTAATTTTTCATAATATTCTGTGTCAATGAATGAGTCTTATCAACTAATACAACAAGATTATGGAGATGATCATATTGTCTAAAGAAAAAAATTGTTACTGTCATTGTTATTACCGTTTGTGAACACTTTTCAGATGTATTATGTACGTTTCATTATTCTTATGACAGAATTCTCTAATGGAATTTCTTGCGTTATAGTTGCCATTTCACTATAAACTGGATTATGTTCCACTATTCATAACGTTGATCATTTAATCTTAAGTTTATACATTCCCATCATCGATAGAACAATCAATCTTATTGTTTAATACGCTTGCTTATTAATATAACCATGTTTGTTATGATCATTTATAGTTGAGAAAGCTTTATTATTTATTATGATGTAATTACAATTAGTGTAATGAATGAGAACAATAATGGAGGACAATCAAATGTATTTTATGACATTACAGAATATCTTAGCAACATATAAGAACCATACAATAAATATTTTATTTTCAACATATTCATCAATTGTTTCGAATTTTGCTGTTTGTTTGTTTGTTTGTTCGTTTCTATACTGATCACTTTTGGTTCTTGTTTTGTTCACTTGGATTTTTTCAACCTTTTGCAGTCAGGCATTCCACTTTTGACTACTGGTACATACTATTTATATCTATCGACATCAGTAGTATATATTATAGTAGTATCAACCAATCTGATATTTTGCTGTTATCGGATTGTAATATGATTAATGAATATCAGAATAAATTAGATATATTCAAAATGATTCATTTACGTTGTTCTTGAGGTACATTTAACTGAATACCTGCTTATTTAATTGATAGACAGTTGTGTAGAAGTTTTATAGAGCTTGATCAGTTTGTAGTTTACATTATAAACAGCAATGTTACATGTGTTACGTATGCTCAACTACGGACTGCCCCGATGATTGATGTTTTATGGTGTAGGAGTAGGTTGGAAGAAAGCTAGGGGCGGCCAGACCAAAACATGGCCCAAATCCATGAAGTCACTGACAAGTGAACTGAGCCATGTTGGCAGGTGTAGACTACGTGGTTGGGATCTCCGAGACGATAACAATCGATGGTTAGAGACCTTGAACCATATGGGTCAAAATGGTTTGCAATGACGCGGGTACACCCATTCTTTGTGTTCTCACAAATTCTAATCCTCTGAATTTCTCATATCCTTTTTTCCTCTTTCCAAATTTATTTCACTGGATTATATTCCATGAATAACATCTTCAAAACCTAATGTTTCCGATTACTTCTTATGCTCTTACTACCTACATATCTGTGCTAATGTGGTATTGCAACTTGAACTGATGTATGTACGTACGAATTTCTACGTTGTTGCTAACTGACGGATAGCAGTAAAGTTAAAATAGCGAACAACTGACATCGTTGTAAAAACTGTTAAGCATTGTTAATTATTCACGAGTTTGTACCTAATTTGTATTTAGTTAAAAGGAGAACAAGAAATTATTTCTTAAAATAGGTACTTGTTAACACTGAGACTCTTCAATAGTGCGCATCTACTGTCACGTATGCGGGTGCGTACTGCTGAGGAGTGCCATATTAGGACGAAACAGTTATCCAAATTTGTCTAGCTTAAATCGACTCATAGATTAAACTTTTAGCTATTAGTTACTTATTTCATGATCGTCCCTAAGATCCTTTAATGAATATTCCAGAGAAGACAGATGGGAATATGTATCCATTTCTTTTACATCACATGGAAACCAAGTGATACTTCATGTTTTGTACTAATACAAATGTTTCAACATACAGAATTGATAAAAGTGTACTGGTGGATAAGATAATAAGGGGGGTGGAATGTCAAAATAGTTTTGAATTTTTTCTAGAGGGATTCTTCAAAGTTTTCATAGAAGAAGGATATTTTTAATGATTTGAATTAATCCTCACTAGATACGTAATAACTGATTTGGTCAATCAACTATCACTCTAATGATTCTGATTAACTAACAAGTATATAAGTAGTATATTAAGTGATTATGATTATAAGCTGTGCATTGTGACGTGAATATCATAGAGAAAACAGTATAATACTTACGAATGAACTTTCTATACATTGTGGTTACCTGTTGTGGTCATATGGACTCAGTATCTTAATGGATAGTAAGCTGGTGTTTGAGTTTAAGTGGGAATATTAACATTGAACAAGTTCAACTGATGAGTCCCAAGTTGAATTGGATATGCATCCAGGATTCTACAAATCCAAAACACCAGAATCGTAGCAATCCGATTATATTGAGACATGCCAACGAAAGCTGACCAGATTTAAGTACTGAAAATCCGACAAATACAAATCATTACAAACGTTTTTTTCTTGGTTAGTTGTTGTTGGTAGTGTGTAGTGGACGAGAACACAAGTGGGGTCGACCAAATGCATTTATTCACCATAATGACAGAATCATTTAGTAAAATCTTAGAACCATATGGTAAATACTTCATTTGCAAAATGTTAATCAACCGTTTCAAACTTGATTGTTTCTTCATTTTCACATCAATCATTCTCTGTACTTATTCTCTTCACTTCGATCTTAACTTTCTGCTGCCAGGTATTTCATATTCGATTGATGATACATATTACTTATATCTATCGACATCAGTAGAGCACACCATACTCGTCCTCCGTTTAAGCAGTCGTTCTTGCAGTGGTTCTGCTCGCCATACCACTCTTATGAATTTTGGAATCGATAGACGTAATGTAAGTTTTGAATGAATGAACGAATGAATTAGATTAATACACGTTTAAATAACACTAAAGAAACAAAGTCAAATAGTTTTAGTGTAATCGAAATTCAATGCTTGAGATCATGAGTCAATTGGAGCTAGGCCACCATGGAAAACCTGGAAACACTGGACGGTCGTTTCGTCCTATTGTGGGACTCCTCAGGAGTGCTCATTCACGAACTCACATTGCGATATTCCAACACAGGATCTATCAGTCTCGCGCGCAAGCGCTTAACCACTAGACCACTGAGCCGGCATCCAGCGGTGTTAATGTTCAACTGTCTATGTCTATCTGTTTATGTTGATGTCATGTCATTTACGACTTCATATGAATTTGTGTGTATATTGGCGAGTTTGGAAAATGTGATATTTGTAATGTTGAAGAGTAAGGTTAGAAGTAATTGTATGTTTGCTAATGGTAAAAGATATAAATTAATGGCTCATGTTGGATGGATCATTAAAAACAATTTTCTTTCAACCACGGTAAAGTTTAGGGAAATATAAAAGTATCAGTATAGTGTTTGTGGAGATTATTATGTTTTTGATTGAGATCATGAACCGATTGTTGTTAGACTACCGTTGAAAACCTGGACGGCCGTTCCGTCCTATTTTGGATTGGTTGAAGTTAAACACTAACACAGTTGGATGTCGGCCGGCTCAGTGGTCCAGTAGGTTAAGCGTTCGCGCGCGAGACTGAAGGCCCTGAGTTCGAATCCCGCCAGTGAGATCGTGGATGCGCACTGCTGAAGTGTCCCACAATGGGACAAAAACGGCCATCCAGTGCTTCCAGGTTTCCAACGATGGTCAAACATCAATCGGTTCATGATCTCAATCAAAAAATATATAAGTCTTCACTCACTCTTCATTCCTTATACTAGAAGATACTTTCTGTATTATTTTGATATTATCAACATCAATTTTGTGGTTGTGAAAGGAAGTATATATTGCTTTTATTGGTTTGATCTGTAGACTTTCTAATTTTGCTGAATTATTAGGTCATTTTGTGCAGTATAGATGCTCTTTGGGATGAGGTATTGTGATGCATAATACTGATATCATCAGATATAAGTAGTATGTATCATCAGTCGAAAGTAAAATGTTTGGCAGCAGAAGGTTAACACGATCGAAGAAAAGTGAACGACAACAGAAAATGAGTTGTTTGCGAACGAAGGAGCAATCAAGTCTCAAACAATTGATCGACATTTTGCAAATGAAGTATTCACTGTATGGTTCTCAGTTTTTACTAAGATGTTCTGTAATTTTGTATTCAGACGCATTCGGTTATCCTCACTGGTGTTCTTCATCACTCCAGTATTATTTTGAGAGGAGAATCTAATATACAATACATCGACAATTAGACACTCTAGTTTTTAGACTGAATTCTCTGTTCAGATGATAGGGATTTTATCCTTTATTCGAATTAAAGCACTTTGAAGTGTGTAAGTCACTTTATAGAAAGCCCTAATTCTGTATGATTTAAGGTATCGTTGTAATTCTTTTGATGTGCATTGATGGTGTGGTAGAACTACAATATCAATCCATGATATTTCATTCAATTTGTTATAATTAGACTAAAGAACATTTTGTTTTTAGTATAGTTTTAATAATATTCTTCATACTTCTTTTCATCTTTGAAACTTGCCTGGATGAATTTAAAGCTAGAGAAAGTTCTACATTGATGGAGAAGTTTGTGTTGAGGATGTCGTTCAGAAGAACGATGAAATCTCCACAACCAAACTATTCAGCTCAGAGAACAAAACTCCATCAAATGTTTTACATTGATTAGATGTGTTGAGCTAAAATCAATTGAAGTGTGTCGGTTTAGGGTAGATGGTTAGAATTGTACATCTATTTGAACTTCATTAGAATATATTGTCTAATACAATTAGTCAGTTAATTGTAATCAACGTATGACCTAGTAAAATACACCCATCCCTTAGCTATACTTAGCTATATTGTATCTAAAGATTAAGATTAAATCAGTAAGAAAATTGAAATGTGAGTAGTATACATAAATTTCATCGAAAAAGGTTAAAAATTAAGAGAATAAAAGTGGGAACTAATATGAAGATAATTCACAGT